CGGTCTGGAAATTAATATACTATGTTTACAAGGCAACTTCAGGTCACTAAATTGAATTAATTATAACTATGAAGCATGTTTGAAACCACGTTTTGGGATGCCAAAATATGGTTGACAGATTTAACAAGATTGCTACTTCTGTCACATGGTTTTCCCAAGGTTCCAACGTGGTCCCAAACCTGCTGATAGTCATACAACTTAACAGCCTCTACTGTTCTCTTGTTCGCAGAAATAAATGGCGATGAGAAAGGTAATGATTCAAAGTCCCCAACTCCAGATTCCCTTTTGAAAATGGGATTAATGTTGATTACGACTTTAAATATCAAAAGACACTCAATTGGCACTTTCCCACCCAACAGCATCAATGCTTCTAGCTTGTGTCTTCTGCCCCAACAGCCCACCAAATCCACATAAAGCATAACAGACAGAATCAAAAGGCATTTGTGTTCTTGTTTCACATAACTTCTTTAGAAATAGTTAAATACTTATGCAGCCCATATCATTATGATAGCATACCTATTAGCATGTGGCATATTTAAGTCAGGACTCAGTTATAACTTCATTCTTGCTAAACATGTAATATGCTTACCTAAATGGATGCATCATCTGCTTCTCTCATAGTTATTGATGAGCACAATGCATTATTGCAACATTGATTTATGGTACATATGATCATAGTGATCTAGAATAGAAATGAATAGCAGCTGCAACTATTCACATACATAAGAAACTTATGCTTTTAATGGATGGAAAAAGGAAAAAAGAAAAGAGGAGAACCTAAACTTACATAAACTCCTATCCTTGCTGAAAATCCAGTATCAAGCCTATATTACAATGTGATGGTCCTAAGAGTTTTTGTCTTGGTCATAATGCTCCCTACTTTCTTCTTCTTCTTTTTCTTTTTCTTTTTTTCCCCCAAAAAGTACGTTAACACATAAACTAATTGAGGCAAAATTGAAAACTCAACAGAAAACAGAGAAAGGCATTACGTCGTTGCTATCAGATAAATCAGAGACGGAAAAACAGACGAAATAGAAGCAGAAAAATCAACCAAAAAAAAAAATTGACAGCAGAAAATAAAATGAGACAACAAAATTGAGAAGAAAAACAGATGGAGGAAAAAGCAACGAACAGATAGAGAAGTTAAGCACAAACCTGACGAGAATTGATACCAGGAAGGCTGTGAACTGATAAAGTTCACAGCTCTGGAATTGAGATGGGCTATTGAAGGAAGAAATTTCATCAACCGATTCACAAGCCCCAATAAGGGGTACACAATGCCACTGCCAGTGGCACGCCTAGCAGGTACCACGGTGCACTGTCTGAATTCTGCACTTGCCATGGTATTGTGCAAATGGCCTGCGGTTGTGGAAGGCTTCACCATAAAGGGAATGCATCAACTCTGCATCATCTAAGCTGCTTCTCATATCAACTGCCCATTCGCAAGCCTCAAAACCCCACCTGGCTTGAACCTGGTGAGGCTGCATTAGCAGCTTTAGATGATACTGGTAGTCTTGATACGTTCATAATTTCTTGATTCAGAAGAAGCCAAATCCTTAGCCGATGCTATCTTGAAACATAAAAAACTATGGACCACAAACACTCAAAAAAGATAGATAGAATCTGTGTCCTACATACATCGAAGCATCATACCACATTGGAACCACATAATTTTCATTGAGTTTCAAGCGTTTACTGGATCCTTGTTATCTCTAGAGATAATCTTTTCACTAGGAGAAAATTGTGTGTGAACATTACAACAAATATCAAGAAGACTAAATTCTAGAAAAAGCACTTGCACTATCCATTGATATGAAATTATGAATTCAAGACCATAAGACAAATACAAAAAAGTTTCACATAACTCAGAGTTCAAGTTACAAGATTGATATCAAAGAATGTTACACACACATCAAAAAAAGAGATACCCTCGTTCACCAACAATGAAAAGCCAATTAGCTATTGTCTACATAATGACAAATTAATTGCACATATAAACTCCATTCTCAAATCTGTGATTAACCTCATAAAAATCTGTCTTGCCCTCAGAAGCAGGTCTTAGACAAACCCCAGATAATGATTGCATTCCTTCGAAGGAAAATTTCACATAGCCAACCAACTCAATTTCTTCATCCTCTTCAGTTGAGTCTACAGGCATCCTTGCTCTCAAACGACCAGGAGTGCCTTTGAGTGGAATCTCTGGCACATGCCATCTAACTTCTTTTTCAGACCTATTCAACACAGCCTTTGGTGAAACTTTTAACAATGTTGGGTCAACCGGTAATTTCAGAATGAATATGACATCTCTCAAGGGTGCGAGCAAATTAGGGTTTGAAGCATATTGTATCATCACTGAAAGCAAACTACCAGTATGGCGTTTTAAAAGTCGAACCCTCAAAGGTAATGGCGTCAACCTGGGCAGCAAACTGTACTTCATTATTGGTATAGGTTCATCCGAGGCTGCAGTCCTCACATGAAACAAACCATTGCCAAGGGAGCTGACGCGAGAATTCTGTATAACAAATCTTTTAACTGCACTTGTCCCCTCAACTCGAAATGAGAATTCAGTTTCCTTATCACCAGCAGTTTTTGGAGGCAAAGTTCTAAGGTATACAACACCCATTAATCCTACCCTTGCAAGCAATGACTCTCTGAACTCTGCACTAATCTGTTCTGAGATATACATCTCAGGACCCTTCATTTCCGTTTTCTTCACCAATAGGTTTTCAAGATTGCCTGCTCCGCCTTCCGCTGGTGCTTTAGCAGCAACATCTGGCCCAGTCTGTAATAATTCAAGTCCACCAAGCCCTTGGGGTTTTGGAGCCTTCTTTGTACCAACGAACTCTGATGGATCAAGTCCACCACCCCAAGCGTCGCTGAAGGATTCAAAAGCTTCTCCTAGAGTTGCCTGTTCATTACTAAATTCTACTCCACCATAGTTTCCTTCAAATCCCTCCACATTGATATGGGTAGACTGGGTTGCCTCTGGAGGTGGCAATGTCGTGACCTCAAGCCCCGCCAATGCTGTTGTCAAATCAGTAGCTGAAGGATCCTTGGTCTTCTTAAAACCACCCACCAGCTCCTGGGGTTTATTGATCGCATCGCTTGCTGCAAATGGATCATTTTCCGCGGGAGCTTCTTCTGGCTTCGTCTGCTGCTCATCCTGCTGCTCACTTGCCACTGGAGCAAGAGTAGCTGCGACTTCGTCTCCAGCTGCGAGTGTCTCAGGAGGTAACTCAAACCGAGCTTTTGAGAACGCATCAATGCCTGCTTGGTGTTCGATTGAATGCACCTCAGCAGAAGTCCAGGTATCAGCACCACGGATCTTGTTCTCGGAGTCGATCGCCGAGTGAACCATCTTCGCAATGCTCTCACCGTGCAACGACGCCAGCATTGCAGCGAGTCGGATGTTGCTGACGCCCCTAAGAACAATATCCAAAGCCATGTAGACCTCCGCGTACTTCTTGCTAAGTTTGTCGGGAGTAACCTCCACACCACGGCAAGCAGTAACGATGACATTTACAGCTTGGTTCACAATATGTATACACTCGAATACGTTTACCGTATTGTCGTGATCAGCGACGGTGATGCCAAGAACATAAATTCCATTCACTAACCGATATACGACACGGTAACGACTTTCAACGCCGACAATGACTTGACCACTGGAGGCAGCAAGCGGATCGTCGCCGATGGACTCAGCGGCGTAGGCGTCATCGCCGAAGGTTTGGGAATTCTTCTTGGAGGCCAAGGCGCGACGGGTTTGGCGGAAGGCGGAGAGGGCTCCGAGGGCACGAGCGGGTGGGAACCACTCGCGAGTCTGGAGCAGGATGTCGGATCCGTTGGCAATTTGTAAAGAAAGGGCTAAGCAAGACATGGCCGGCGACCAGATTCCGATCTACTAGGGCGAAGGATCCAGCTTGCGATGGATCAGAGTGAAAATCCACTTACTTTGTGCATCAAGAATTCAAAAATAATCTAGATTTAGATCTCAGACCAGGATGCAAACTGAAACTCCCAAGTAGCAATTTCTTGGATTGAAAAATTGTGTGAGAGATGAGAAGAGAGTTCGATGGGGGACTGGGTGAGAACGACGAAGAAACCCCCTGCCCACAGTCTTTCGATTTTGGTTTTTTCTTTTTTTTGGGTGATAAGTCTTTCCTTTTTTTTTCCTTCACATTCTTCTTTTTCGAGATTGGGCCACTGTGGCCCAAAACATTCGGGCCTAAAGTATCTACAAAGTAAAGTAGCATTAATTAAAAATGAAATAAAATCTAAAATAACATTAATTTTCTAATTTTGACGTAATTCCTTTTTTACTTTAAAATAGATTACAAAATTAAAAATTCAAAAATTCATGAACTATCAGTTTAGTGGCTCGAATTTGATTGCTCTAATTCATTAAAAATGAGATGGGCTTATGAAAAAACCATCAAGAAAATTGGGCAACTTAATTTGTTTAATCAATCAATCATCAATCAAATATGCTCCCAAAATCTTGCCATTCCTTAGAGTTCGCTTTTCACATTCAATTATCTCCATTATTCTTTTTTTCTTATCTCCGTTATTCATTTTGTTAAAATATGAATAATCTGATTTTTTTTAAAAAAAATTTCAAAATATATTTTTACTCTATTTTTTTTGGGTGAAATACTGTACTCTATTTGTTTTCATTCTCTAGCTGTTTCCTTCAAAATAAAATACTACTATTACATTTTAATTATTAAAAAAAACTTGAAATTTTATCCAATGAAATCGGATGCCGGCAACAGAAACTAGTCTAAAAGAAGCAACTGTGCAAGGCAATCTCAATTCCTTCTTTATGATAAGAAGTTAACACAAACCTCTCATAATGCTGAATGTGACCTCACCATAAGCTATCTTGCTATCAAGTATCAACCACGTTCACAATTAACATCAAATGGAAGCATTTACAATTAATGGCCTCGTAAATCTTTTTTCTTAGGACGCCTATCTTTGTTGCGCGGCTCAGTGTACTACCATTCGGTATTCACCTATTAGGTAAATTCAACCGAGCTCAGGCTCTTGACAATATATACTGAAAATTACTGTTACTGTCCCTTTCGTCAACCTTCTCCCATTCCAAGGGAAGCTCCATTACATGGAGGTGAACAGACGGCCAGGGCCAGGAACCTAAAAAATGTCATTCATAACGCCAGGAGAAACCCTGCAAAACCCCAAAGACCAGTGAAATGCCTTTCTATAGAAGCTGAGTTATTGGAAAAATTTCCTTGCATGATCTCAGATACAGTAGGCTGCCTATCCTTCAGCCGAAGAAATTGCCTTTATATGTTTGGGCTAATGAACGAAACAAGGAAGCCATGATTGTGTAAAAAGGTCCAAATATGGCTTCTAGCTAATTTAAAAGACCTTAATAAGCAAATTAACCATAGTCACCAATCTGATTGAAAAGGGTAATACAATTTATCCACAAGAAATTCATCAATATATATAACTCACAGCTTATGGTCAATCAGTTTCCAAGTAGCCCATGAGCTTTTAGTTCATGTGGCTGGCAAAAAGTCAAGAGTTTCTTCTTAAGCGTTCAATCCTTACTATTTCTGCTTAAAGGGGGGGGGGGGAACATATTTGTATCATGATGCATAGTCGACCAGGAATTATATCTAATAAAATTCAATCTACTAAGAGCTTACACTAAACACCATATTTTTGTAGTTTCAATGGAAGTATCATGACAATAATTTTCTGGTTTGATTATTTTCTATGTTCAGAATTTTTGGTTTATAGGATTGTACAATATTTTGAAATTAAACAAGAAAATACGAGAAACCATCCTTCAAATAATGAATGAATCGGATGCACGTTTACATTTACGGGGCCAACTATAGAATGAGTTTTGATAGATTTGATTTGTCCCCGGGAAAAAAAAAACATTTTAATGAGATACTGAACAGTGCAATGTTTCACTTTGTCGAACATCCATCAAAATCCATCTTTAATCAACCACTGTCCAATTGCACCCCCAGTTCCGGAAACAAATATATTTGTCATTCCAACTAAATAAACAAACCAATATCGTAGAGATACCTCTTCATATGGTTGAGTGAAGCAGCATTTTAACTCAGGTTGAATAAAGCACAAAGGGAACTGCATATCATTAAGTCCTTGATTAGCAAGGCTTAAGTAAAAGGGTAAGGCAAGGAAAACGTAGAATAGAATGTCAAATAAAATGAAAGCAAAGCAGAAGTGAAAACCCACAAACATGTTTAATCAAGTCATATCAAAAGGATATAATGCTGTGTGGTGTGATGCAATATTTGACATGATATTATTATTGGGTAAAAAAGCCTCTAGAAGTGCAGGTGGCAATTTTGCGAGTAAAGTGCAGAATGGATAACCGCTGATGGTAAATTAGACAACTTAGATTTGTATACAGTGTAAGCAATAACTGAACAAGAGGGTCACCAAATTTCTAATGGGACATAATAGCAAATTAACAATGAAAGATTGATAATTTAAAATTTTTTATAGAAAATATCACCTGACAGATCTAATATCTAAATAAGACTTCCGCAGGACACTGGCAAGCCTTCTATCAAAGCATAGTTCTGTTTAATTATCTAATCAAGTACCAATCCTTTGACCATAGCTATGATGTGAACTTGGCTTGAATCAGCAAATCAGAGAACAAGGAATAACAATATCTTATACGCATTATATGTAAGAGAACATGATTCGCAGATAAAATTGGGCCCCTGTCTTCTATCCCATTTTGGTTAGTACAGTACACCAACGAATAATATAACATCAGCACAAAACAATTGCAAACTTGGTGTAGACAATTTTAAGTGGTTAAGAATTCTTAAGAACAAGAAAATGAAACCTTACCGATGAGAAACATGATAAGCATTAGAGCAAGCGTGATTGAAACAGAACACCGAGATCGCAATTGTACGGAACTATTGAATTGTCCTTGGAAACAACCAATACGACCTAAAAACTGCAAAGCATGAAAATCTGATTAAGATTTCCTCGAATGCCACCCAATGAAATCCCAGCTACTGAGATGAACTCTCATTTGGTGACTGTAAGCAAAGTATAACATGTATAGAACAAACTTTACTGCTTTCTTTGGCGTGTATATCTTTTTTCAAAACTAGTTAGTCTAACCTGATTGAACGTATGTACTGCACGCACTGCCTGAGGATATTCTTCAAATTTATGTTTCCAGAAGCCAGGTTTGAACCCTTTCTCTTTAGAGTTTCCATCAGTAGTATGCATGAGTTTATTCCTATGTTCATCTTCATCAGCAATCATAATTTTTAACTCCCCCAATTTTGGAGAACTACACGGCTTCCTTATATTAGTTGTTCTGTCTGCTTGAGAAACCATATCATCACTAGTTCCAGAAGCTTCATCTGTTTTTATTTCTATGACGAATTTTACATCCTTGTTGATGGAAATGGCATCCTTTGTAGATTTTTTGCCGCTAAAGATATTTCCATTGCAGGAAGCATTTACATCAAAGACTTTGTCTCTCTTGTTGCTCTGTTTCTCCTGAAGTGTATTTTTCATGGAAGGAGTGAGTTCCACGCATTCATCTTTAGCAACCTGCATGTTTTGAGAGGTTCCAGATAAAAATGCAGCGAAATCATCCCGATCTTCTTCATCCAGATTAACCCAACGGAAGGGTTGTCTTCCTTCCTCAACAAAAGATTCTCTTAATGCTGCTTCAACATGGGAAATTTGGTTTTGAATGGCCGAAATAAATTGTCTATGCCTCATGGTTGCATGCTCATCATCAAGATGCCTGTAGCTTAGCTTAACAGCCTTCTCAAACTCTTCCAACTATTACAGCATGTTCAAAACAGAAAATTACAAATAAGAAAAAGTCGAAAAGGAACATTAAGTTTTATAAGGAAAAGGAGGAACAAAGGAAGAGAATAAACTAATTTGAGAACTGCAAAAGGAAACTGCATTAAAGAACTTCAGGAAAAAAAAACTGCATTGAAGAACTTTTAGTGCTCGATATAGAAGGGGGCGTTCAGAGCCAGCTAAAGAGGAAAGGTAATATACCTGCCATTTTGCAGTACCCAAAGCAGTTTGCAGCTCCCTGCATAGTTCATCTAAGTATTTGGGAATTGATCGTCCTCTCCTCTCTCTAAGCCATGCTCTGTATGTCGATTCCATTCTGAAGAACGGTAAATCAAGAGAGAAGGGTGTGAAATTTTTGTAAAACGGAAATTCCGCGTATGTATGAACTTGCATCCTTATGGCAATCCTAAATCATGTAATTAGTTGAGGTTAAAATTACAAAACAATCCAACCGGGGAAGATACCTATCAGCTGATTCCTGTACCTCCTCAGCCGCAGAAAAGAAAGCATCCTTTTGCCAGAGATCAAAACTGTTAGGCCACATCATCTTGAAGAACAACACCCAGTACCCAAAACAAATCAATTAGTTGATCCGAACAACAAGGGTTGGAGGAACAAGCAAATCCAACCCTACCCAACCCAACTTCAATTAATCATCGGTAAGGTATAGCCCGTGAAGAATAACTCGTGAGTCCTTCTTCTCCCTCTCCCGTGCCAGACAGGCAGAGAGAGAAAAAGAAACCTCAGAGTAGGAAGGAGGGAGAGAGGCTGATTCGAACCTGCTTCTGTCTCCAAATTGCTTTCGGGGCTGCGAGTTGCTTATCGTTTCGGGTCTGGTAAAAAGTCTCAATCGGCGGTTGAAATTATTTTTTTAACGATGACTCGGAACTCAAATCTGACAAATCGCATATTCTTTGGGTTTAACACTTCAGTAAACCAAAAAAATAAAAAACACTTAGGAAAACAAACAAAAATTGATTATTTATATCCCATACAATTACACCCTAAAATATTTTATAATATATTTAACATATTAAAATATTTTTTTAAATGCGTCCAATATCGTAAAATATTTTTTTTACATCCAACACCCTAAAATATTTTTTTTCAGATATGTTTAATATCCTAAAATATTTTTTAGCACATTCAACGTCAAGGGAAAATAAAAAAGGTTTTCAGAGTGTTGGATACACTTCAAAACATTTTAAGGGATTAAGTATACGTGAGAAAATACTTCAAAATATTTGATGCTCTTATGAAATAGAACCAAAATGAAACCACAAAAGTAGAAAGGTGAAGACAAGAGAATGAGAGAACTTTTTGTATTTCTTCACTTGCATTACAACACAAATGACATGCCCTATTTATAGGCATAGTCTTACAAATAGATTACAATTGTCCTTAAATGACAAATAGTGGATAATCAATCCCATAAATGTGAATGGAGGTGAGTTACAAGAGTGAATGGATAGTGGAGGAGTAATGGATGGTGGAGGTAGTGGAAGTTACTTGGTTTCACATGAAGAGGAAGGGATAAATGGACATCTACATAATATTCATAACACTCCCCCTTAGATGTCCATTATACAAATATGTGCCTCGTTAAAAAATTTCAACTAGAAAAAACCCTGTGGGATAAAAACCTAGAGGAAGAAAAAGAGTACACATCCATTAATATGCTATTCAATACTGCCTCATTAAAAACCTTACTAGGAAAAACCCAATGGGATAAAAACCATAGTCAAGGAAAAAAGAGTACAGCATGTGTTAACTCCCCCTCTTGGTAATATCAGTTGATATCTTTGAGTCTACGGCATCCGATATCATGAACAAGCTTTTCAAATATTGTACCAGGAAGTGACTTGGTGAACAAATCTGCCAGATTTTCATTGGAACGGATTTGTCGAACGTCGATTTCACCATCCTTTTGAAGATCATGAGTGAAGAAGAATTTTGGTGAAATATGTTTTGTTTTATCTCCTTTAATGTACCCTTCCTTTAGTTGCGCAATACATGCAGTATTATCTTCATTCAGAATTGTCAGGATCATTTTGCTAGAAGACAAGCCACAAGTGGTTCGTATGTGATGTATTATCGATCTTAACCATACAAATTGTCTACTTGCTTCATGTATTGCAAGAATTTCTGCATGATTAGATGATGTGACTGATATGGTTTGTTTCATAGAACGCCATGAAATGGTTGTACCACCATATGTGAACAAATAGCCTGTTTGTGATCTACCAACATGTGGATCAGACAAGAATCCAGCATCTGCATAACCAATGAGGTTAGTTTTTGGTACATTTGAGTAAAATAACCCCATGTCCATAGTACCCTTGAGGTGACGAAGAATGTGTTTAACTCCATTCCAATGTCTTCGTGTTGGTGACGAGCTATATCTTGCTAGTATGTTAACGGCAAATGATATATCAGGTCGTGTGTGACTAGCAAGATACATGAGTGTACCAATTGCACTAAGGTATGGTACTTCTGGACCAAGTAGTTCTTCATCATTTTCTTGAGGTCTAAAAGGATCTTTATCTTTCTCCAAAGATCTTACAACCATCAGAGTACATAATGGATGTGATTTATCCATATAAAAACGCTTTAAGACCTTTCTTGTATAGGTTTCTTGATACAAAAAGATCTCATTTCTTGAATATTCAATTTGCAATCCAAGACAAAATTTTATTCTTCCCAAGTCCTTCATTTCAAATTCTTTCTTTAAACAACCCATAGCTTTTGCAAGTTCTTCAGGAGTTCCAATGATATTTATGTCATCAACATAAACCGCAATTATCGCAAACTCATTTCCAGATCTTTTCATAAAAATACATGGGCAAATTGGATCATTCTTGTATCCCTCATCCAACAGATATTTGCTTAAACAGTTATACCACATACGCCCTGATTGCTTCAATCCATACAGAGATTTATTTAACTTAATTGAGTATTGCTCTCGAGAACTTGAATTGTATGCTTCTAGCAACTTGAATCCTTCAGGGAGTTTCATATAAATATCATTGTCAAGTGAGCCGTATAAATAGGCTGTAACAACATCCATCAGACGCAAATCGAGTCCTTTTTTACTGCCAGACTAATTAAATATCGGAAAGTAGTTGCATCCACCACTGGTGAGTATGTTTCTTCAAAATCGATACCAGGTCTTTGTATAAATCCTTGGGCAACAAGCCATGCCTTATGTCTTACAATTTTACCATTTTCATTTCGTTTTTGCACAAAAACCCATTTGTATCCGACTGGTTTTACATCTGCAGGTGTATGGACTACAAGTCCAAACACTTTTAGCTTTTCCAGTGAATTCAATTCAGCCTCAATTGCGTCTTTTCATTTTGGTCAATCTTTTCTTTGTTTACATTCACTAATAGACTTTGGTTCATGATCCTCATCATCATTCATTACATCAAGCGCTATATTATATGCAAAAATATCGTCAACATTTACTTCATTTCGATCCCATCGTATTCCATTCATAACAATTTATTGAGATCTCATCATTTTCGCACATTTCAGGTAGCTGAGTTTCTTTTGGAATTGAGACATTAGCATTATCTAATGACTCCTCTTGAATTGCTATTCTTTCTTGATTATCCTCGACTTGGCCATCTACATTTTTAGCTCATTTTCTCTTTCGAGGATTTTTATCTTTGGAACCAATAGGTATGCCACGCTTCATGCGTGCTTTAGATTCATTTATAATAGCAGGTTGTCCAACAAGGACATCAATTCTGATAGGAGCATTAGCAACTGGAACATGTGATTTGGTCACTTTCTTTAGGTCAGTAAATGCGTCTGGCAACTGATTAGCTAACTTTTGTAAATGAATTATCTTTTGAACTTCTAGTTCACATTGTTTTGTACGAGGATCAAGTTGAGATAATGAAAGTTCCTTCCAACTAATCTCTTTTTCCAACTGCTTCTTTTCTCCCCCTAATGTTGGAAATTTTGATTCATCAAAATGACAATCAGCAAATCGAGCCGTAAATAAATCTCCTGTTGATAGTTTTAGATATTTTATTATAGAAAAAGATTCATATCCAACATATATTCCCATCCTTCTTTGGAGGACCCATCTTAATACGTTGTGGTGGAGTAATAGGAACATATGCTGCACTTCCAAAAATTCTTAGATGAGAGATATTAGGTTCCTGACCAAAAACCAATTGTAAAGGGGAAGACTTGAGATAACTTGTTGGCATGATACGAATTAATTTTGCTGCATGCAAAATTGCATGTCCCCAAGCAGAATTTGGGAGATTTGATCTCATTAGTAATGGTCTTGCAATTAATTGTAGTTGTTTAATTAATGATTCTGTAAGTCCATTTTGTGTATGAACATATGCTACAGGATGTTCAACATCAATTCCAAGAGACATACAATACTCATTGAAAGCTTGCGAAATAAATTCACCAACATTATCCAAACATATTCTTTTGATTGGATAATCAGAAAAATGTGCTCTTAATCTAATTAGTTGAGCAAGCAACCTTGCAAATGCTAGGTTACAAGAGGATAATAAGCAAACATGTGACCATCTTGTTGATGCATCAATTAAAACCATAAAATATCTAAATAGTCCACATGGTGGGTGTATCGACCCACAAATATCCCCTTGTATACGTTCTAGAAATGTGAGAGACTCACTTTCTATTTTTGCTGGTGATGGTCAAATGATTAACTTTCCTTTAGAACATGCAGCACATGAGAAAACATGTGATTGTGGAATCTGTTGACTTTTCAGTGAATGTCCACATGAATTCTCAATTATTTTTTGCATCATAATAGTCTCGGGATGGCCTAACCGGTCATGCCAAACGTTAAATTTATTCTTACTTGTAAACTTCTGGTTTACAATAGCATTTGTTTCAATTGTGCTAATACGTGTGTAGTACAAGCCTAAAGAAAAGGCAAGTAATTTTTCTAGAATGCATTTCTTATCAAAAATTAAATTTGTGATAACCAAGTATTCTTGATTTCCTTCATTTATCGTTTCAACATGATATCCATTTCTGCGGATATCCTTGAAGCTCAATAAATTTCTATTAGACTTGGTAGAGTAAAATGCATAATCAATATGTAATTTTGTTCCTTCAGGTAGCAATACATCGGCTCTTCCAGAGCCTTCAATAAGGTTTATACTTCGAGATATAGTCTGAACATTGGTTTCTCGCATTACCAAAGAAGAGAAATATTTCTCATTTTTTAGTATTGTGTGAGTTGTTGCACTATCAACGAGATACAAATCTTCATTATTGAGGTCAATAATGGTCATTCTTCATGAAAAAAACATAGGAAAAAGATTAAAAAGAAAACATGATTAATAAAAGAAAATTTTAAATTTTATCATGAGTAAAAACTCATAATTATATTTATTTTGGAGGTAATAACCTTACAAGTATAGAATTTATTGTGGTAGATGAAAGAGCACACTTATAAGCAAAACATGAAAATATACTTAATTATAAAACTCAATTACACCAAGATGACTCATTTTTTGACACTTCCATCACCAATTAAGTGATCAGTTCTTCCATCAGGACTGGCAAAGAAATCAGCAACATCCAAATGAATAACATCCATGTTGCCATAATCAGAATCGCCTTCTTCTCCAACAAAATTTGTTTCCACCTTTGGCTCTTTGCCTTTATTCTTATTCTTATTCTTATTTTTCAGCGATTCTTGGTAGAGATCAACCAAATGCTTTGGCTTACGACAGGTACGAGACCAATGACCCTTGCCACCACAATGATAACAAAGCTTTCAACATGATTATTATTTTCACTAGATTCTTTTTGGTGATGCTCATCGTTATTTGCCCACTTCTGGTGGGAACGACCACCTCCATGACCACGGCCACGTCCACGTCCACGGCCACGGTCCCGTCCACATCCACGACCATGGCCACGGGTTGATTCACTTGCCACTGCATTTGCTTTTGGGAATGGAGTGGAGCCAGTAGGACGGTATTCATGATTCCTCATTAAAAGCTCATTATTTTGCTCAGCCACAAGCAAGCAAGAAATTAATTCAAAATATTTTTTTAAACCTTTCTCACGATATTGCTGCTGTAGGAACACATTGGATGCATGAAATGTGGAGAATGTTTTTTTCTAACATATCTTCATCAGTAATCTTTTCTCCACATAATTTCAGTTGAGAACTGATTCTAAACATTGCAGAATTATATTCGATCACAGATTTAAAGTCTTGTAAACGTAAATGCATCCAGTCATAACGAGCTTTAGGAAGGATTACAGTTTTCTAGTAGTCATACCTCTCCTTTAAATTGTTCCAAAGAACAAGTGGATCTTTTATGGTCAAATATTCAATCTTGAGCCCCTCATGCAAATGGTGACGTAAAAAGATCATGGCTTTGGCTTTATCTTAGTTGGATGCTTGGTTACCTTCCTTGATTGTGTCTCCTAGACCATTGGCATTTAGATGGATTTCCGCATCTAATATCCATGATAAATAATTCTTTCCAGTAATGTCAAGAGCCACAAACTCAAGTTTCGTGAGATTTGACATGATGATGCTATCTTATAAAAGTTAAATGAAAATTAATATTAAGAGAATAGAATAGTTATGAAACAAATCAATATGAATAAGAAGATGGAATAATTATAAAACAAATCATTACAAAAGTGATATAGAAATTTACCTTCTAGTTGATTAGCCTTATTACAACACCTTCTAATTACAAGAGCGCTTCATGCTGATAACGTCTTATGAAATAGAACCAAAATGAAACCACAAAAGCAGAAAGATGAAGACAAGAGAATGAGAGGACTTGTTGTATTTCTTCACTTGCATTACAACACAAATGACATGCCCTATTTGTAGGCATAATCTTACAAATAGGTTACAATTGTCTTTAACTGACAAATAGTGGATAATCAATCCCATGAATGTGAATGGAGGTGAGTTACAAGAGTGAATGGGTAATAGAGGAGTAATGGAGAGCGGAGGAGTAATGGATGGTGGAGGTAGTGGAAGTTACTTGGAGAAGATAAAGAGGAAGGGGTAAATGGACATCTACATAATATTCATAACAGATGCATCTTAAACCTATTTATACTTTCCCTTCATGTTTTCTCATAAATTAAGAAACGCTAGCTAAGTCATTTGATATGTTTAACATTGATAAAAATTATCTATTTCACTCTTATTATTAAAGAATGTGATTAGAAATTGTTTTTATTTTTCTCATGCATTTAAAACTCTCTCTCCTCCTTGTAACAGAAGATAAAAATGGAAAATCATCATTAATTAACCTATTAACTTCTTATATTTTGGATTAAAATTTTCTTTGAAAAGACTTCTTATATTTTGAACTAAAGAGAATATATACTTATCTAATATCACTAACGGGATCCAACTCTAAAAATTTTTCATGCCACTGGCATAATAACTCCGCTGAAGTGGGACGGAAAATCTTGGTGGGAAACTATTTGCACGTTAAAAGCCAAAATAGAATTTCGCAGACTTGCATAAATAGGTGGAGAAAGAATTTAAATAATGATATAATGATTGTGAACTTGGATTGGAGTTATATTAATTAATTAACTAAAGAGTATTTTTTAAAAATTTTACCAAAAAAGAAACTAGTAGTTTTAAAAGTTTATATATACATTTTTTGAAAGGATTAAGATTTCAAATTACATTTAATAAATTTTGTTGGTATGAGCCATCTTACTTTTTGTCTTACAATGTGAAATGAAGAAAGTATTTTATAAATTTTAAAGACTTAATTATGCTAAATAGTGTTAATGATTCGCATTAATTACTCATCTGATCCTTAATATAAGACCTAACTGTTAAGTTAATTTTGGTCCTATATATAAAACTTATTTCTCATATTTATTAATTTTTTCTAAATTACCCATATAGATACTTCCTCAACCATAATGAAGTAAGTAAGGGAGGGAAGATATAACTAACTTACCTAACTTCTTTAATTTAATCAAATTAGTTAAATAGGTCTTATATTAAAAATAAGAGAAGTACTAAATTATGAGATGTTTTGTTTAAGAATGTAAAGCAACCAAAGTAGCCAGCAAGAGCTAGCGGGAACAAACGAAAAGCCAGGTCATGCAAGTGCTATATGCTTAACTTTCCCTTTGTTTTTTTAAGCCATAGATACTTTTCTATTATATGTTTATTATATTAGAGCCAAAGAGCATTTTTATTTTGTCTCAGATGTCAGAAGCATTCTTGAAAGAGAAATAGACATTCTATAACAACTTTTGAAATCACAACTACTATAGACATTCTATATCGTTCAATAACAAACAATAATAAAAAGTTAAATTATTCATACACTTTTTTTTTAATAAGTTATTTACAGATATCTTCTTATTGAAAATAATCTTATTTAAAATATTGTCAGATGCTAAATGTACACAACCCTCTCAATGAAAATTCGAACCATGAATTATGAATAATACTCCTCTGGTCCTTAATATAGGACCCAATTGTTGAGTTGGTATTGATCCTAAATATAAAACCCATTTATCATATTTATCAATTTTTTCTAAATTACCCCTATAGATACTTTCTCAACCATAATCAAATGAAGAGGGAGAGGGGGTATTAGATAAGATTATTATGGTGTTTTAGGAAAAACGTGTCACATTTTTTATAATTAACTAACTTATCTAACTTTCTTAATCTAATCAAATTAGTTAAATGAGTCTTATATTAAGGACCGGAGGAGTATGTTGCTTATACGTAACTTTGAAATGCAAACCCGCCCTAATTTTACATGCTGAACCACATGTGGCTCTCTGTTCATTGCATGGAATAGGCAAGAGAAACATCCACGTCATTATAATTATATATAAGACCAATTCAATGATAGACACTATCCATTATTATTTTTGGTTGGCTTAACCTATACACGTGGCTTCTCTTTACAATTTGAAAACTGCAATACCAAACGCATGGTTGAATAAAATGAAAAATGACAGATAGATGTCTCTTAAATCCAATAGTATAAGAACAAAACTTAAAAGTTATTATTCATATATCAAGTCAAAAATTGAACATAAACTGTGCCATTGGACAATTAAAAATAGCGCCGCTCTTAATATCGGGTGTGGAACGCCATGAACTACATGGTTTTGTGAGAGAGAATTACAAGGGGTACACTTCTGAAGTCAATAATCTCGTGAACTTACCCTAATAAGAGTGATAGTAATTTTAGGTACAAGAATTTCGGATTAGGAAACTAAGCTAAATAATAGATCAAGTGGCTTAAGGATAGATCTCAGCCGATTCCTTCCTTTTTATTAATGTGTTTGTCAACCGTTAGAATATTTCTTAATTAAGTCGCATCATCAATTTGGCTGCCCCTTACACCAATAAAGTCAGCCACTTACGCAGAAAATGACACTTGATGCGCCATTTAACTCAATTTAGATGGTCCAAAATCCAAATTGATCAATTTTCCATTTGAGAAAGTCGTATGATTGTTTTCAACTTTTCATCGTTCATTTACAAAGTTTAAAAGGAGGGAAAAAGGCACCTTTTTGGGGGAACCGGTGGCGCATTGGACCAAATCACCCAATTACCCTCGGATGTCCTCAGCCATGCACTTGCACAGTTCATTCTTGACCATATCCATACCAGTATTACATGAAGTTGAGATAGAGGAGACGATTCGTTTTTGTTGAATCTTATACTCCAGTGCTAAGTTTTCATCCCAAGAGCAGTTTTCTCTGAAAATAAACAAAAGGAAAATTTTGTATCAACATATGTAACTTATATTTTTCTCATAACTAGGCGCAAACACTATCAAATGCCATAACCTGTCATCAAGACTCGTGTCATCCAAACTGTCCATCATGCTATCGAAGATAGATCTGAGATCTTCTAGAATTTCCAGCTCATTTTCCAAGTCCTCTTGCAACTGTAAGGGAAATGACATTCATATTATGAAGAAAGCAATCAGTAAAATTCGATGTAAAATGCAAAATTTAAACTGCATAGTTGACATTTGAAAATATCATCCTGTCACTGCATAGAATGCGTTTTTCGTGGAGAGGTCAGTTGAAGGAATTGATGCACAGAGATCATGGAGAAACAATTCTGGAGTAACTGCTAAACAGAGGTGGATAACCGCATGAAATGTCAAAATTAATAAGAGAGGGCATTACAAAGGTCTTAGTATGCAGCATGGGATTTCGAGATCTTCGAAAATGGTCCAACAATGGGGAAGGGAGGCCATAGTAGTACAAATTGTGGTTGTTGGACAGCCAAGTACCCCGAACCATGTGATTGGTCCAGCTGGACATGGGTTCATCCTCCATAGAATCAATGCCAGAAGCATCAATGTCTGCACAAGAACGATGGTAAGCATCCCTGTCATAAAACATGAGCTCTGAAAAAACTGCAATATCGGCACTAAACTCCAGAAGACAAATGACAATATCAAACAATCATTAGACATTGCTTGCGATGAGAAGACATTACCAAGTGGGATGACGTTGTATGGGTTATCTCCCTGTGGCAAGAAACCATAAAAGGTAAGGAAATGAGAATTAGAGAAGTTCCCATAGCTTAAACAGCACTCTTCTCCAGATCTGCATGGTCTTGAAAGAGGAAATTTCAATGAATTTGTTGCAGGATCTACTTTACCATAGTGCAGGATGTGTGGGCACAGCTGTAGTCAGGAACCAGAATGTGTGAGCACCTTAAGCATGACAAACAATCTAAATTGGTAAAGAGGAAAACATGGAGAAATGCAATGCTAGTTCTGTTCCATAGGAATATGCATCTCACACAAGGTATTTGGAGTCCTTGTAATTTGAATTTTAACTACCTTTGGTTTACTCACTGAATCACAATATTAGGAAAGCATAAAATCTTAAATTTCTAAAAACAGGGGATGAACTATGGGAAGTTTTCTTTTTCTTTTTCTTTTTTTTGGGGGGGGGGGGGGAGAGGATATACATACCGAATGATTAAGAAATCCAGCAATAGGAATTAAGCACGTCCTTAAAGTTCCATCAGAAAACATTATCTTCATACTATTTGAATACCAGAGTTCGCAGGCCCATAGAAATTGCTCCCAAGTGTACAGCTTTGGTGGAAATATATCAGGAAAAGCATTGCACAAAGCAGGGAATAATTCATCATACTGAGTATGAAGGTACTGCCACAAAATAAAGTAAAAATATAAACATCATTCTTTTGGAGGTAGGAAACAATTAGCAACATACACTCCATAAATAGAATAGTTATACTTGACCCGCAAATCCTAGAAGTTAATATAATAGTGAAGAGTTCTGTCATACAATAGCAACCACATCAGAAACAAAACATATCAAGTATTAGTCTCCCACACAATACAACAACAGCAACCAGCTTTATTCCACTGGGTGCAATCAAGAACATAAATTGCATTATGTTTATGCTGTTGTGTTCTGTCACTAACCAACTCTTCAGATATGCCATTCACCAAAATTCTCCTACACGATATTTTTTTAAAAGAATATTATCTTTTCCATGAGGCTTTAAATCTGCCTCTTGAAAACCGAAAAATTAAAAATTCTGTGAATTGATAGGTCATAGCCAGAGGATAATTTAACTAGCCTGAGAGAGACTTCTGCAGACTTTGAACAAATGTAGATCTATTTTGCCTTTTCTAAAGCGTTTTCCACCTTTCTCTTCAAGGTTACAAGCATATGGAAGTTACAAGTTCAACCAACTCTTTCAGAGATTGTGCAAGTATCGTTCATTGCTCCAGAAACCACATTGATGCTAAAGCAAACGAAAGGATAAACCTTGCAGTTTTTGTAAAGCAGGAAACTCCCTCAACCAAACTTATATTTAAACAGGATCATATTCCAGATAATGCCCAATTCTTCTTTATCTTTAGGTGAATTCTAAAAGCGGGAGCAAGGGGAAGATAAACCAGGCTAAATGACATTAATAAGATCAATAAATCAAATAAATTGATGAGTTTGGGTTTATGGATTTCCTCTGAAAGCCGAAAGAAGTAGGATCTTCAAGTAAACAAATGATCAGTAAACAGATGAAACAATGGAACACATAATTACCTGCCTTGCTTCCATTATCTCTTCCAAGAGCAAGGTTCCTTCAGATGTTGTGATTCCATCAATACCAAAGCTCAGCCCTGAGTAATAATATGTATGTAAATAGATGTTATATGTCTCAATGTTACACAGGTGCATCTATAGTTTAGCCAGACCCATATTATTTTTGTGGTATCTGATTGCAATTACATTTCAGTCTATCTGTCAGTGCATGCACTCAATCTTTCATTGTTGATAAGGAAGGCAATGTTAGGGGAAGCCCTTATAAGAGCAATTGGCAAATTTATGAAACAGAAAGAAAAATACCCCTGGGATGCCTATAAAATGAACCAGAGTTACTGTTTGCAGAAAATTTGGTGGCCCTATAACAGCACACATAATCACTTGTAGATGCTGACGTATAAAGAGCTCCTGACTTGAATTTTGGGTCAATATAATTAACTATTTTAGAATAAATACATATTTTATGTATTTGTGAAGCTCAACAATACAGAATTAACATGTAAAGGAGTGCAGTACGTGGCATAAGTTGGCAGTTAGATTACCCGTATTAAATTTTTCTGGGAGCGAGTCAAAGTAAATTCTGAATCTTGAATCCTGATTTTGCTTCTCCTTCATGCTCCATAATAGCAACATTGTCTCAGAAGATATACCTTTTTCGTTCAGGACACAGTACTGTGAAGGGTAAGACTGGCAACAATCAGTATTTGAAAATATAGAGTAACAGACAAGATTTTATCTTATGCGCATTTCTCTAGCATCATGCTAAAAATTATTTTTGAAATACAGAGAGGAGATAAATGAAGTGCAGATATGTAGGGTATGAATATCTATCATGAGTCTAAAACATTACAGCAGCACAGAGAATGTAGAAGGTAGAATAAAAGTAGACATGATTATGTATAATTGATCATAGTCCATTAGTTGGTTCCAATTATCACAGTTGGTCAATGTAGGTTTCAAAATAAATAAATAAATAAAAATAAAAAATAAAAAAATTAAATCGGAAATGTTCAAGCTTTCCTACAAGGACTAGTACCATATCAGTTTCACGCACAAGATCCTCATTAATAATAATGGATACTGGAATTTCTAGAGCAATATCTCCAACTTTAAGATCTTTTTCTGCTACGGCACCTCGCCTGCTCCTTTGATATCTGGTATAAAATGCAGGCAAAATGAAAGAAAGAAAAGGATGAAGAAAGTCATTAATATGGATTGAAATTACCATTGTCTGAAGCAAATCAAAAAAAAAAAAGCACTAGAAAATGAAAATTAAATATGCAATAATGAAACTTACATGCTATCTGTAACTGTGTCCTTACGCCATTGTTTTTTCCCCATTCTAATAGGTGCTCTTCTTGTTCACATCTAAGCTCTTTTTCAACTGTTGCTCCCAAACTGTTCTTGTCCCCAAAATCAGAAATTAATGCGAGAATTGCTGTCCGCAATTCTTGCAGTATAATCGTGTGAGGATGCTTATAACTAGAAAGTAATGTGTCAATGAGTGAAATGATGGAATTGAGAGCCTCTAATTCATTCCTAGGGCTGTAAAATTCCCCAGATGTACTTGCATCATCAGCAAAATAAAGTTCCACCTGAAATTCAGTAAAATTAATTCTTTAATGAGTTGGAGTCCCTAGAATGAGAGAAGGGAGGGGGAACATTGGGTGCAATTTATTTCCACTTTCTCTCCGTTAAATAGATCAAGAGGTTACCGTGATTACAGAATACAGGAGCTTGGAAGCATAAAGAGAAATTAATGCAAGGCTGTGAGAGTAGTCTTAATAAGGTGAAGAATCGCCTAATCCAACAAACCATCGGTTGTATATAACTCTAGATATGTTTTTCGAGCAATATTAAATTTAAGTAGTCCGGACAGGAGTAACGGAATCAACCTCATTCAAATGTATAATTCTTGCAATCTGAACCAGTACTTTCACAGCATCACTCATCCGATCTGGCTTTGAAGAGCCCTGGAGACACACTCGTTCCTTGGAACTAAAACCTTTGCTTCGAAGTACTTTCTGGTAAAAAAAAATATGATAATCAGTTGGATATAATCAAAACTTAGGACAAAATTAAATATAAAGCAATTAAGGAAAGTCCAAAGGATTGTTACTATTGAAATCAGAATTAGCATAGCCTCATGACTGAAGTAACCTATTGTGTTTATAATTTACACACAATGACATGATATGTAGCCTGCTGCCATCTAAAGGTCAAATTTTCTCATACTTAAAACTCTTCAATGAGCAACACGGAACAGTATGCCACCTACAAACTCACATTTTATGTTTCTTAGCAGGAATATAGACTGCCTTGTATTGTATATTATTCCATCATCTAAATGATCTAATATTAAATCAATTGCTTAACCATATGATTAAAAAGAGAGACTAATGCCAAAATTAAATACTAAAGCAACTGATAAAAGAATCCATCATCCTGCTTTTACCTCCTTTCTATCAAAGAAAAAGTCATCTTCAGATAGTTCGAGAACTATTGACAACTCCTCATTTGTATCCATGACTTTACCAGATGACCTTCGCTGCAATTGATAGGTGGCAGTCAGACACTAACTACAATTTATAATATATGCAAGTAAATTTCGACATCGGTCAGTACAAGTCAATAACAAAATGGCAACATTCTTCCGAACTGAAGGCATATCTACAGAACAGAAAATGGCCATATTCCTGGCCTCATTGAGCATCATTTCCTTTCGTACACTTACAAAAGATAATACATTTCATTTACGACGTGCAAACATCCCAAGAAGAAGAAGAAGAAGCATCGATTTCTGGCAATTCGTTTAACACATAGCATATGGAAAACCTAAACTATAGTATTTTGCACAATCACATAGGTCGAACAGAAGAGCAGTAGAAGATATAATTCAAAAATCAATAGCCACAAGGTCACAAGAACGACATAGAAGTGTTTGGACAATCCAATAATGAATGTTGAGGGACGAAACATAGAAATCTGTTCAAGCAATGAACTTCAAAACGAATAATCCTGAATTTGCAAATAGCTTTTGGCAGTCCAACAAAATATGAGTCACGAACAAGCGATGAAATCACCAGAACAAAGTAAACTCCAGGAGAAATCAATTCAGAGCTCAGAGAAGAGAAGAAAAGAGTACAAGGTTGACTAGGTAGTAGTCTAGTCCTAGTCTCTACTGAGGAGGCATGCAACTACAGAGGAAAGCCAGCGTTTTGCAAGAACGAACAGAGTATGGGAGTTTAACTGTGAGTAAAATTTGGTGCTTCGACCCGGGTTGTTGCATCCAGCGGTCTGGGTTGTTGCGGTAAACGGCCTAGTGGGCTGGTTTCTCATGAGATCTTCACAGCCCAGCTCTTTTTACGTATTAAGCCGAAAAGACCAAAACGTGGAATGGGCCACCCTAGGCCCATTATCGAAAAACCTCATTGTTTTTCTTTGTTAATACTACCCATGGTCCTTACATAGAAGTTAGTTTGACTATTAATTTAGTCATAAATATAAAATTTTAATTTATTTTATATCTTATATTTATCTATTTTTCTCAAAGTAGTTTTTTTAGTAATTATACATGTTAAAGATTCTATCAAATTATAGTTCTAGCTAATATGCATGGTCAGCAAAGGTATTCTAAGAAAGACGAACTTAAAAAAAAAAATTTTATCTATTCAAATTAGTTAACTAGTTCTTATATTAAGAATCGGAGGTAATTATCTTTGGACCTTAATATAAAACTAGTTTGAAATTGAATTTGGTTATAAATATAATACGTCAATCCACTTTGTCCTCCTAAATTTGTAATTTATTTTCTAAATTATCTCTATTGATTATACATGTCAAGAAGTTTCCATCTAAGAATAGTCATTATTAAGAATTCCTTGTGAGAATCAACTCATATTTCTCAATCAACTCAAATTAGTCAAATAACTTTTAATATAAGCACAGAAAGTAGTACTTTTATTTCTGTATTGGCTTCCTCTTTGCATTTGTAGTTCATCTATTAAGCCTGAATTTTTGAACTCAACATTTGTTCTTGGTGTTGAAAAAAAATAATCATACATGACAAGATAGAGAGGCAAAATGAAGAAAGCGAGACATCAAAAATTATGCAGGCTTGTAGCCTAATTGATATCAAATACCTCTCTTGAAGCTTTTGTAAGCATGAAGTTGAGTCTGAATTATAGAGGATATAATGAGTTTGTGTAGTAGTATAACAAAAAAAACATGACATCAAAAATTAATCATGTTAGGAAAGATATATTCTACAATGTCATGGATCAAAAATAATACTCCTCCGGTCCTTAATATAATACCCATTTAACTAATTTGATTAGATTAAGGAAGTTAGGTAAGTTAGTTAATTATAAGAAAAACGACACATTTTTCCTAAAACACCATAATCATTTTTTTTAATACTCCATCTCCCTTTTCTACTTGATTATGGTTGATGGAGTATCCATAGGGGTAATTTAGGAAAAATTAATAAATATGAGAAATGGGTCTTATATTTAGGACCAAAACCAACTCAAAAAATTGGGTCCTATATTAAGGACCGGAGGAGTATCAATGTGGAAGCCTTGATAAGTGATGAGTGTTTCTTTCGGCATTAGGAGATTTGTTTTAACTTTTATAAGCATTTGAGACCAATCTACTTCTAAATTTTTCTACATTAAAAAATGGAAATTAAACAATAAAATTAGTGGGAGAAAAAAGTGAAAGTCATGAAAAATTGAATTGTGTTATACTTGGAAAGGGTGGGCATGCACGAAGGAAAGTAAATAAATTTTACTTTCAAAATGTTGTTTTTCCCCCTTTGTGACTTCATTCTTGGCCAGACTTTTTTCCCTATGTCACTGTATTGGTCAATTTGTGACAGCGAAGGATCTAAACTGGATCACATATGCACTTCTGCAATGACCCCAAAAATAATACTCCTCCGGTCCTAATTATAAGACCCAATTGACTTATTTGAGGAGATTAAGGAAGTAAGTTAAGTTGGTTATTTATAATAAATAAGTGTTGTCATTCCTAAAATATCCTTGCTAATTAAGTATATTGGCTAAAACTTCATTATTAGAAGGATATCTTGGAAAAAAATGCATAAATATAACAGACAAAATGGATTGGGGTCTTATATTAGGACCAAATAAAAAGTCAAATAGGGTCTTATATAAGGACCGGAGGAGTACTACCCAATTCTTAATATAAAATGTAACTGACTACCACCGGCCTGTTGGCCCAGTGGTGTGGGTGTGTGAGTGACGCGGGTTGCTCCTATGTAACTCAAAAAAAAAAAAATGTAACTAACTAATTTAAAAAGATTAAAAAATTAAATAAATCACTTTTAAAATATTATATTTACTTTTTTTCTTCAAACTAATTTATGTAAGCTAATACATATAAGATAATGATACACATAAGTATTTTAGAGAAATCATGTAACATATATTATAATTAAGTAATTTTTCAGTTTTTTTTATTTTTTCAAATCAATCAACTAGTTCTTATATTAAAAATCAAAGATAGTGTTATAATAAAGCTCTAATATACTTCAGTCAATATAATATAATCAAGGTAGTGGTCTTTACCATGGAACAAAGTATGGAGAATATTTGTGGTATCCTTGTATAACTGGGATCCATTTGCTTTGGGTCAAAAATAAATCAGAATCAAAATAAGAATAAAAGAAGCCTGTTCTTCATCATCATTGAGAGGCTGTGATTATGTGAGAACCAACAAAAATTAAAATGGCCGCCTTTTCCCACATACTGGGGGAAGGAACCTGAAACCCAACCTTTGAACCAAATAAGATCAAAAGATGCAAAAACTGAACCCTACACGCCCACTATTCAATTTATGTTGTTCTTTGATCTTATTTATATTCGGTTTCATTAGATTTATCTTCCAACGTGATTTTTCTTTTTATAAAACTGATTAAAAGTGCCTGTTTGAAAGTTTTTATTGGCCATATAGATCTAAATTTGAGCTGAAAATGGGCTACAAACAGCTAAAAATGAATTTCATTTGCTTAGAATGAACTGCAACAAATCCTTTTTGCCAGTAAAACTTTAAAACAACAAGTTCTTTAAACCAATTTTCCCTTCTTTTTTAATATTTACAAGATTTAGAATGATATGTATCTGTCATGAAAAAAATTTTCCCCAACTTTTAATGTAAAAGTTATTTAACTAATCTGAGTATATTAAATAAGTTAAATAAATTACAACATTATATCATGCATTAATTTATAAATTACATAACTTAGTTTTAAAAAATAATAAATATGAAGGATAAGATGGATTAAATAAAACAATTCCCCAGCTAGCTACTAAATTTAAACTCAATGACTAATTGTTTTTCTTGGATTTAAACTTGGTCCTTTTCAAGAAGAAGGAATCTAATATTTATCTCAGATTGTGTGTGGATCGTTCATTTTCTGCAACTTTATTAATATTATCCTGTCAGAGATTTTCCAGCTTTTGGACACTTGACACAATAGTCACCGCTCTTTTATGTTGATTCGTATCTGATTCTTTCTTCTATTTTCGATCCGATCAATAAATCGAGTGGTTAGTAAAACCCTCGTGCCCATTCTAGGAACCCTCCTTTTTATTAATTCTGTGGATTTTTTTAAGCAAAATTATTGTTGTAATTATTATTTTTATATATCCTTCGGTTCTCATTTTGACTGATTGTCCAAACTTAGGAGAAAGTTAAAAATGCGGTAAAAACTGGAAGGTAAAAGTTTTAAAATATTCCTTTGTTTTGGCCATGCACCTTCAATTCCTGAATTGGCATCGGATCAGCATAAAAATTATAGTCTGTGACTGCAACAATCTCGTCTTTGATACTCAGGACGCCCAAAAGTAATATTACTAATAAGATTTTTAATATAAAAATTAGATAATAATTAATTTAATTATTTGTGATAAATATGTATTGATTTTTTTAAACTATCTTCTTTAGTTATGTTCATTAAAACTAGCTTTTGAAAAAAAAAAAACATTTGAAAGATATGGAATGAGATACTATATTTAAAATTAAATTTAATACTCAAACTAGTTATTATATTAAACACGAGAGCTAGTATATGATAATTTAGAAGATAGGAGATAATTTTGTGCGCTTGCTTTTAATGAGATGGCAAAAACAGATTTATTTTTCATGAATAGTGCCAAATAGGATGTAATTAACAGATCACACGAGACCATAGTCATATTATTGCTATCCAAATTTTTTACTCTTCAATAATTAGTTGAATGATAATAATTGTCTTAGGCACTAAGTAATACTACCTCTTGTCCTGATTATAAGACCCTTTTTACTGACTATAAACAGGATCTTATAATCAGGACCGAAAGTAGTAATAATTACCTACTGCACTGGCTTGAAAAAACAAATTTTGTCTTGGTCTCTTTGCTATGAACAGTATAATTAAATCCAATTCAAGTATGGTGACAAATCCAATTAAAAGTAATTAATTTTCTCAAAAGCATTTTATGTCGATACATGAACTCAAAAATGTATCAGTGGACATATCCTTTCCATTAAAACAAACACGTAATAGTTTATCACAACAAACATAGTTAGTTGGCATGCATGTGCGTTTGGGAAATGTCTGTGTTTAATGTAGAAAGTACAATCTCTCTATAAATAGATAAAAGGACAACAGACACTCATCAAACATAA